ATCAATGTGCGAGTGATACATCGATCAATTGCCTCTCACAAGCCCCCTACTGGGGACCAGGCATGTGCCCTGACTGAGAATCAAACCAGCGACCTTTCCACTCACAGGACAGTGCTTAGTCAACGGAGCCACACCAGCCAGGGTAGCTTTGCCCATTTTTTAACTGGGCTGTTTGGGGTTTTTGTTGTTGTTGTTGTTACTGAGTTGTAAGAACTTTTAAAAGCATATTTCAGGTACTTGACCTTAATGAGCTCAGTGAACATTATAAGTAGACTCACCACAGGGACCACCACCCAGATGGAAATTTTGACAGTGACAGCTTCTCAGAGGCCGTCCTCATGGCCCTCTGGCCGCCACTCCCCAGGTGGCCATCTGATTTCCATCATCATAGATTCGCATTGCCTGTTCTTGAACTTCTCATAAATGAAATTGCATAATGGGTCCTTTGTGACCCGCTTCCTCACCCAACATCAGTGCTGAGGCCCGTCCAGCCCGTCGTGCACAGCAGCCGCTCTTTGCAAGGGCAGTTCAGTGCGTGTTTGACACGCAGAGCCTTCTGAGCTCGCTGAGGGAGTGAGACTGAGCGGGGCTGACATAGAGGAGTGGACGGGCTCCCCCACACCCCACCCTTACTCATCATGCCCCACCCCTCATCTCCCTTACCCAAACCCAGCACCCTGAGATTCTAGCTCCTTAGTCTATGGGCAAGGCCGCATTCTCTACCAGTCAGGGAGTGTAAGGCAGAGCCTCGCCGCACAGCCCTCCGTCGGGCCTGCCGCTCTCCCAGCACCAGGTTTGGGCGCCACGCCAGTGCCAAGTCAGCCCTCACCCACGGTACGGAGTGGGATACAGGGTGCTGGAGAGGAAACTGAGTCACAGAAAAGAGTCAGAATTCAAACTCAGGTGTGCCACCCAGGCAGAGTGTAGAGGGCAGGGCGTCTCAGGGAAGGAGGGGCCTGCAGGGTTATGGGAAGGGAGCGTGAGTGGCTTGAGGGCTTGGGGTCTGCACCAGCCCTGGTTCACATTGTCATCTTGCCACCTGCCAGCTGGGTGGTTTTGGGCGTGTCACTTTGCCTCACTGTGCCTCAGTCTCCCCATGTGTCAATGGGGTCTACAGAGTCCTAGCGCAGTTTCGGTGGGTCATCCTCTCACCAGCACGGCCCTGCAGTGTGGATGCATACCTTATCTAACCCTGGAGGGAAGTGATCGTTGACCAGGGGAAGGTAAACTGAGGCCCAGAGAGCCACGCAGCGGCTGTGAGCAGTGGAGCCAGGACTTGCGCTTTTGCAACTGGTGTCGACCCATGGTCGCTGGTACAAATTCAACACCGGCAGGAGCCTCCAATTTTGAATACAGTGAAGGTAAATTTATTTCATGCAAACAAGCAGCTCAACAGTAGGACCACACCAAAGTAAGGTGGCCATCCTGCAAGGTCACTGTCCAGCTAGACAGCTCTACTCCACCAGCACTGCTTCAGCGTTTCAGACCCAGCCAAGGAAACACAGACCTCCATGGAAAGGGAAAACACGATGCCCAGCTAGAATTAGGCGAGCTGACTTATGTAGACAGAAGTCCCCGCCACTGATCCCCGATTGGTCCATCCTTATGCAAATAGGGACCTTAAACTTCATAGTTTGATTGGTCCTAAAAGCACTATCCTGATTGGTTGGAATGGAGCTGCCCTGATTGGTCAGTAAAGATACTACTTTAGAGCTATTTCGGAGATAATATAGTCTTGTGGCACCAATTGGACAGGGAAAACCTCAATCCTATTGGCCGAAATACACCTCTAGGAACTCCTGTATAAAAGAGTCGGTACCGCTGGCAGGCAGGCCGGTGCAGGTTTCTCCCTGAAGTGCAGTCTATGTGAGAGGCCCGGTTTAGAAATGTTTAGAAATGGCGGCTAAGCTCTGTTTTTCCATCTGAACCCAGTTAGCCACCAGGAGCCTTTCATGGTTCGGTATCTTCTTTCTGCGAGTCAACACTGGACACCTGCCCTGCGCTCCTGACCTCCTTGGGGGTTTACTTCTCTTGGGGAGGGAGGGTGCGCCCATGCAGGTTTCCCTCTGCAGCCGGCTCCTTTTTTATTGAAGTCATTTTTCTCCTCCTGTCAGCAGAACCGGCTGCAAGCAGCCCCTCCCTCCCACTCTCAAAAGAGCTGAGAAGAAAACAAAAGCTTAATTGAATCCCACACTGAGGGAAGGGCGTGCAAGCAGCTGGACAGAGGGACAGGTGCTGGGGAAGAGGCTCTCAGCACAGGAAGGCCAAGAAAGCCCCAGGCCTCAGTGGGTCTGATGGTAGCTTGTAATAATCACCCTAATGTGATTATACCATCATTGCCATATTGTGCCTGCTTCCATGGAACACACCTGTACATAAGCTCTGTCCACACGTGAGTTTGGGCCTCATCTCCAGGGCTGAAGTGTTTTTCGTGGGGAGCCAGAGACCCACACAAGCCACGTGGCTTGCCCAAGGCCACCCTACATTGCGGGGTGGTAAGTCCCAGGCTGGAATTCGATCATGGAACACTCCCCAGGCCTGTCAAGGTTCAGATTTGCAGGCCTCTATATGCTCCAGGGAGGCGGCACCACACAAGCAAGGGCTGCGAGAAGGGGGCGTGGGCCTCAGTATGGGGCATTCACAGTGTGTGAGGCTGTGATGAGCCGTGGAAGGCTTCCAAGCAGGACAGCAGGAGAAGGCAGTGGACAGACAGGGCGGGCAGTGCGGCTGAGGCTGGGGTGGGTGGGATGGAGGCCTTAGAGGGCTGGGTTCCCAAGCCCCTTCCCTCCACCTCTGGAGTGTGCCTGCTGCCTTAATACTTCCTCCCTCTTTCAGTTTCTGCTCCTCCTGCAAAGCCCTCCTTGATTAACGTTCGCTCCCTCACCCCACGGCCGCGTTCTCCAGCTCTCTAGGACGTGCAAACCTCTGCCTTCAGGATGCTGCCTTCCTTCCTGTCAGACCAGGGCACCTAACTCAGTGCTCTTCCTCCTTCCTCATACTGGAGTTTCACTACATCAGTGTTCCTTGGCTACACATTTTGTTTTTAAGTTAAACTGGCTTGATCTAAGAAAGGATTTTATTAGTCCCTCTGAACCAAAATGGTGTGCCATTACAGACTTCAGGCACAGCTAGATCCAGGTGCCCACAAGGTGTCCAGGCATCTAACCCCTCATCTCTTGGCTCTGTTGTCCACTGTGCTGGATCCACTCTGAGAAAGGGACACCATTTTGTGATTTGCACCCAATGGGGTGCTTACTGCTAGGTGTGGCCCTGGGTGCTCATGGCTCTTCCAAAGGTAGGAAGACTCAGGATGGCAGCTGGGCTGGAAGGAGAGTGCCAATGCTGTCTTGTTTGCACCACGGGCTGAGTGCTGGGTGCTGCAGGTGCAAACAACAGTTCATTCTGATTGGAGCGATAGGACAAGACAGTGCATTACACTAACAAGGAGTATAAAGGGGGTCTGACCTGGCCGGGGTGGGGGCTGCCCAGAGGAAAGGCAGTGGGTCGAGGCCCAAAGGCAGAGTGAGAGGATGGTGAGCGAGGGTGTTCCCAGTGAGGAGCCGGCATGGCCAGAGGAGGGAGGGGGGCTTCTTAAGCCACTGGTCCCATTATGTCCTTTTGGGCATTCCGAGGCACTGGGCAGCCACAGCATACACACATGCGCGCATGCACACGCAGTGACACATATGTGCACAGATACGTAGCAACACTCACATCCACATCCACACAGTTACACGTGTAGGTACAAGGATGCACACACAGAAAAACACATGCACATGCAAGCACACCGGCATGCAAGCCCACACACACACTTGCTGACACACACACAGCTACACCTGTATGCACGCATGCACTCACATGGCTTCGCCCACACTGACACCTGTGCACAAACACTACTGTGCTCTCACACGCACATCACTACACTGGCATGCAAACACATGCACATAAGGCAGACACACAGTTACACATTTGCAGAAGCACACGTTACATGGTTCACACGTGCACACACACATAGACACACAATCCCACAAGCACACACACAGGCTGCCCAGTGATGAGTGGCTGGTGGAGAAGAGGCGAGAAGGCGCCTGGTTGCCCTGGCAACACATCCTGGGTCCTGACCAGGCCTTGTTAGCGCAGCTCATCTGGCAGCTGGCAGCAGGTGGAGGGCTGTTCAGGACCCCAACCCTCCCCCCACAAAGGTTCCTGGTGGCTTTGTGACAGCCCTGCCAGTCTGGGCCCCAGGGGGATAAAGACTGAGGAAGGAGAAGGCCTGGGGTCAGAGCAGAAAACGGCCCCTGAACTGGGTGTTCTGGGGGGAGACAGCCTGCCCTGGGGGGTATGAGGGGGACAAAGGGGCGGGGGCTGGCCGCCCAGCTGAAACACTTGCTTTCCGATTCCCTTCGGATCTCGGGGGCTGGGGCAGGCCAGATGAGCATGAAGGTCGGGTCAGTGCAGGGGAAGGGGGCACTCCCGTGTTGGCAGCTGATGGGATCCAAGGGGAGGGTCCCATTAGTGATGTTCCCACATGTCCAGCCTTTGTCCCCAAGAGCCAGGAAGGGACAGATCCCGTCAACCCTCTCCTTGGTGGCTGCAGTGAGGGCACGGGTTCGAGTTCTGGCTGCCATCAACTAGTGAGACGAGGATGTGGGAGGCCTTCTGAGAAGCTGCTGTGAAGGCTGCCCACGTAGCAGAGGGTAAGAGCAGTGCCCACAGACACCTGCTGCGTGAATGTCTGCTGTTGCTGCACTGGGGCCTGGGGGCCGCCGCCGCATCACCCTGTGCGAGCCTGCGTCCTTGCCTCCACCCCAAGCACAGGGCCTGAAAGGTCTGAGGGCTTCACTGACCTTGAAGGCTCCTGCCGCCTTCCTTGGAATTCAAGACAAAATTCCTCTCTTGTTACTAAACAGCAAAGAAGACAGATCTCCACCCCCGCATTCCCGAAACACCTTTATTGCACTAAAAACAGCATTTATAAACAAACACACTTGGGAGGTTCACCCACAGTCAACTTCGAACACAAAGGTATGAAACAGTGCAGGGGCATATAAAAGTGGGGGCCCCAGAGGGAAAGCAGGGGAAGGGCAAGGTCAGGGTCAGAGAGGTGGGGAGGGGTGTGAGCTCTGAGCATCTATGCAGGGCCCTCTGTCACCGCTTTGGCCCACAAGCCTGGCCCTGGTGGTCCTGGGGTTCTAGAGTGAAGGGGGAGCCCCTATGAAGGCAGGAGCAGGAGCATGAAGGAGCAGGCACAGGATGGAGGCCATAGGGGGCATGAAAAGGGACCCCAGTTCTGAGGTCCCCTCCAGCTCAGTCTGCAGGGTGCACTGAGGGGAAATCTGTTTCTTCACTTCTCCCTTTGTGGGATTGGAAACCTGGAATCAGGGGGGACAATGTTTGAGCAGGGAGGGACATCCCAGGATCCCACTGGGCTGCCCTGGTCCACCCACGCACAGCAGGCAGCGCAGGAGAGGTGAAGGAGTAGAGCTGGCCTGGCCGAGCTGGCCCCTGCTTCCAACAGCAAAGAAGGCATATCAGTGCTGTTTCTGTTTCTTTGGACTAGAAAACCTCCACGGAAATCATTCAAGAACCCACATGCTGACACAACAAGCAGACCCATGCAGCCACCCAGCAGCATGAAAAGCCATAACCAGGGACCCCCTTTGCTTGCCCCTTTGTCCCACCCACCCTAACCAAACCTATTTACACGTGCGGAGTAAAAGCCACGGCCATCGGTCACTGGGCATCACTCCCTGGTGTCCAGCTGGCAAGGGTGCTGGGTAGGAGGGGGCAGGGTGGCAGCCTAGGAGGGATGGGGGGCTGCCCTCTGAGCATCCCCTCCAGGGGAGGGAGGCTCTGCCGGAGGTCCCAAGCAGGTGCAGTGGACAAGCCAGGCAGGTCTGTGCCCAAAAAGCAAGCAGGGAAGGTGGAGGAAAGCAGCCCGTGGGAGGGCTGTCTGGCTCCAGGGACAGAAGAGGAACTATTACTCCCATTTTCATCTTTGGGGACTTCCTGCACCAGGAGCTTCACAGCACTGCTGCCTCCCAGAGCCCCACGGGGCAGAACCCTGGGCCTGGCACTGCTTTCTGGAGTCTGGCTGGCTGGCCTGGGGGAGGAGGGCACTCGTGCAACACAGCAAAAGATTCAGCTCAGCCTCAGGACTGGAGACCTCTAGGCCTGTGATCCACCTTGGCCACCTCCTGGCAGATTCCCAGCCACCTGAGAGCCCCTTTCCAGAGCTCTGAAGGGGGTGAGACCACATCAAGGGGCATGGAACTTGGGGCATAGAGGGAATGCTCAGCCCTGCAAATGGCCTTCTCTTACCTGGCAGCCCCCTCTCTTTCTCCTTCAAAAAACCTAATCCATGAAAAGTAGCATCCCGGTCACCATCCAGCAACCCAGGAGAGCCTCAGCTGCAACATCAGGGCCCAGCCCGGCTTTAGTTGAAACCCACCTCCCCCTCCGGGGCTCCTGGCCAGCCAACTGGCCTTCTGCCTCTCAGGATCTGGATGCAGAGGGGAGGTGGGATCTCCCCTCGGCACCTGCGAGAGGAACAGAGGGTGGGCGGCAAGAGGCCTTTACAAAAAGGGGAGCAGGGAGGTCAGGGGCAGCTCCTTCTCCCCCAGCAGCGTGTCCCGCTTGAGGCTGCTACCCTTGTTGACCACCTTGATCCTGAGGGCCAGTTTGCGGACACTGGCCGGCCCGAGGCCATCGAAAAAGAAGTCCTCATTGAAGACGGGGTGGCGGCTGTTCTTAATGATGGTGCTGCGCTGCTTCTGGAGCTTTCCAGGGACCAGGCACAGGCCAACGCAGCAGTTGATGCTTCGGGCATCGCAAAGGTGGTCGTATAGGCCCTCGGCGGCCAGCAGCCGCACGCGCAGGCGCGCCTGTGCCGCCTCGTACTCAGCCAGCAGCCGCACGCTGCCCCGCGTGCCCATGCGCACGGCGTGCTCCGCGCGGGGCACCTGGCCTGGCTCCGAGCCTGGCTCCGGGGCGGCCCTGCGAGTCAGGCGGCGCCGAGCCCCGGGGCTGGTGTCCGGAGTGCTGTCATCGGCCGACAGGGAGCCGTGGCGGACCACGGAGTGCTTGAGCTGGCTCACCTTGGCCTGGCTGTCCTGGGCGAAGCCTTTGAGCAGCGACACAGAGCGCGAGAGCAGAGGGGACCCAAAAGGGGAGGACTCAGCCGAGGACCCCGTATCGCTCTCCCCACCACTGAAGTAGCGGCTGGGGCTCATGAGGGCCCCGCCAGCCTCCCTGGACACCCCGTCGCCCCCATTAGCCTTGACACCCCCACGGCGGCGCCGGGCTCCGGGGGAGCCCACCTGGGCCAGGGCCCCATGCTCGCTGTGGAACAGAGACTCCTTGCGCCGCGTGTGGGGGCTCTCGGCCAGCGTGGTGAAGCCATAGGACGTCTGGGCCTTGGGCACCGAGGGCAGGGACATGGCACCCTGGGCCTGGGGGTCGGAGTTGGTGGTGGCCTCCTCAGCCGGCCAGTCCTCGGCGCTCTCAATCTGGATCACATGCCGGGTGGCCGCCTTCAGCAGGCTCTTGCTCTCGGCTGCCAGCTTGGCGGGCAGCCGAGGGCTGCGGGGGGCTCGGCGGGGCGAGGCGGAGGCTGGGTTCTGCTCCGCAGCCGAGCCCAGCTCGCCCTGCCCCTCAGGCTCCGCGGGGCTGGCAGGAAGCTTGGGGGGGATGAAAAAGTCAGGAATCTTGTCGGGCGTGAGCACGTTGCTGTACAGGGGCCCCTTGGAGGCCTTGTCCCCGGCCTCGCCCCCAGCAGCACCGTTCTCCCCGGACCCCCGAAGCCGCTCCAGAAACCACATGTTGGTTTTCTTCATGGGGGCAGCAGGCAACAGGCTAGGAGGAGCACTGCAGAGCCTAGGGAGAGAGGCAGGGGCCAGGAGCTGCAGGCCCGCATGCACTAGGGCACTGAAAGAGGGGTTCCTGGCACCTGTCTGGGGGAGCCAGAAGGGTGTGGGGTGGGCTCGCCTCTCCCCTCCTTCTCCCTCCCCTCCCCAGAGGGATCGCGCTTAACTTCCAAACACCCAGGCGAAGCCAAAGAGGTGGGTAGGAGGTGCTGTTCCGACTCTAGGGTAGCTCCCAAGGGAGAGTGGCCCCTCTCCCGCCCCCACCCCAGCTTTGAGGATCTCAAAGCGCTTTTTAAAGGGTTTCACGCTCCGTCTACAGAACGACACCTCAGGGTGTGGGTGGACCCCCAGGTGTCCCAGCTCCGCCCCCCCCCTCCGGCTCCCACCCACCTGTGGCTTCTCCCTAGGCTGAGGGTCCAGGCAAGCGGGGTGGAAGAAAGGAGAGGACTGGAGTCTGGGGACCCCTGGCGTAGCCCCCTGGCCCTCCCCTCCGTCTCCCCCACCCCCTGTTAACTCCGCCTGGGGTGGGGGTGGGGTCCTAGCAGCCCCCGCGGTACGCGGCAAGGTCCCTGTACTCACCTGCCCGGGGTGGTGGCCCGAGGCTGAGGCTGTTCCGCGGACTCGCCGGGGTCTGGGCGCGAAGCTCCGGGGCTACGAGTGGGGGGATGCAGCCGCAGCTTCCACAAGGGCGGCGGCAGCAGCGCAGTCGGACTCATTCACCGGCCGCGGCGGGAAACCGCCCAGCCCGGCTGCTGCGCCGCCGTATTCTCCCTAGTACCGCCGCCGCTGGCGCCCCCGCCCCCGGGCCTCGCGGCACGCCCCCACGCCGCCCGGGGTCGGTCGCAGCCAGGATCCTCGCGGGGACCCAAGGGGCTGACACGGGTAGGTGGGAGGGAGCCGGTGGTCGAGGTTTGCTGATGGCCACCCCTAGCGCTCTTGCCTGGGGATGGGAGGGCAGGGGAAGCAGAAACCCCAAACCCTTGCCTCTGTTCACTTGGGATAGGGCGCACACCCATGCTTGCTGCCAGCAGCTTTCCCGACCTACGATGATGAATAAACGCATAGTAATAATAATAGCTGCAGCTAAATTTACTATTGAGGCTTTCTTTGTGCCAGGCCCTAACGTCGTCCCCCCAACTCTCCCCCGTTTGTATACGAGAAAAGCAGAAAGGCAATGGGTTCCTCCTAGAAATAAGGACCCAGCCCCTAAACCTGCTCCTCCTGTTGAATGCACATTACTCAGTGTAGCTACCCCAGCAGCCAGGAGGGGTCTGCTCCTCCATTTTATAGACAGCTGTTTATTGAGCACCTACTGGATGCTGGACAATGACCCAGACGCCAGGAACACAGCTGTGACCAAGGATGTGGCACCCATTTTGTGATGCACCCCAGGGCATTGATGCCAGCAGAGAGGTGAATAAGAATTGTGACAGGAAGATGTGATTGGAGGAGAGAGGGAGAGCACCAGCATGCTGTCCACACAGATGGAGAGACCAAGGCAGCCAATCCCATGCCCTGCAGCTCCTAAGATTTCGGGGTCCCTCTAGGATCCCACCCCCCTGCCGTGTGATCTGCCAGCACCAACCTTCCTGCTCCTCACTCTTTACCTTTCCTCTCAGCCTCAGTTTCCCCTTCTGTGAACTAAGGCTGACCAGTCCCAAGTCCTGTCTCTGTTTGTGAGGAGCCAGCAAGATAATGTGGCCAGATGGAGGGAGCCCCTCCAACACATCCGCTGGACCTTGGAGTGAGGTGGGAGTCCCACCGTCTCCGTGGGGACAGCAAGGCTCAGAGGGGACCATGACTCTAAGAGGCCTGCCCCAGCTTTGCTCACCCGGCAAACCCAGAGGTCCCCTTTGTGTTGGAGCAACTCCACTGTGGCCACGCAGCTTGCACGAGGGGGCAGATTCAATGAACCCATTACCTCGCCACTGCCTGGGCCAGCCCCCGAGGCACAGCCTGGCAGAGCCCCGTGAAAACTGCCCCAGAGCAAGTATCGGGTGATTCCATTGGCCCTGCAGGGCCTGGAGCTGCAGTAGGGAGAGTGAGTGTGGGCTTAGCCCTTCAGTGTCCGCAAGACACTGGGGTCTTCAATGAAAACTGGGAGGACGAATGAACAGAGTATAGGGAGGATGACTCCCGGAACAGCGCTCTTTCCCACGGCAGGGCCTCAACCACCTTCCTCCATTGCCCCACCAGGGACAGTGGGACCCAGGAAAGGGAAGTGACCGGCTAGAATCTGCAAGGAGGGGCAGTGCCAGACTAACCTGAGAATTGGGGGTTTCAATCCCCACTCACCCTTGCCCAGCTGGGGGCAAGGTTTCTCCTCCCAGCTGGGTTGGGAGAGAAGGCAGTGAGTTTATTCTGTGCTGGTTCCTCCTGCACTAAGCAATTCGGACACAGATCTGGAGCTTCTCAGTCAGGGTTCCAAATCCTGGTACAACACTTCCTGCTTTGTGACTTCTGGCAAGTGTCCAAACCTCTCTGCCTTGGTCTCCCCAGTGGACGGTGGGCATCACAGCATCAGCATTACTATTTGCAAAATGCTTAGAACAGGACCTAAACACACGTGATGTAAGCGTCCGTCATCAGGAAGGCTGCTACTGGTCAGGAAGGAGACTCAGCTAGGGGAGGCCTTGCCGGGCCTCAAAGTGAATCCCAGCACATGGACACCACGGCAGCTTAGCTCAGCCATAAGCCCCGCCCCCATTCCCCTACCCCATCACATTTGGGGGGCTGGGGAAACTGAGTACTAGGGGATAGATACCAGAAATCTGCCCTGTGGGCTACCACAGAGCCCACCCTGGAGAGGGCGTGGAGGCAGGGCCACAGGCTTTGGCTACAAACAGGAACCTCTCCATGTCAACAAAACCTTCTGCCTCCTCTGCAGAGCCCTAGGGCTGATAGGTGTGGCAGCCCCACAGGACTCCCCCAAACCCTGAGCTGTAGCTTCCCTGGAACCAGAGATAAGGAGGCTGCAGGCTGCAGGCCCAAGCTCGGGAGGGGGCCCAGACGGTACCCATCAGCCCCACCCCCTAAGTCGTGCCACTTCAAGCTAGGTGGCCTCGGTCCTCATCCCCCCGCCTCACAAGTCCTCACCCTCTCCCCCACCCCCAGGCACGCACTACATGGAAAGGACAAAGTGGCATGTCTCAGAGAAGACACAGGAAGGTGGTGCTTCCTGGGATCCAGGCCTGAGTCATAGGCTGCTCCCCGCGGCATCCGGCAGACGGGTGTGGAGGACACGCAGAGAGGCGGCACAAAGACAAAGAGAAGCCTGAGGGCCCAGCGCCAGGCCTGAGGCGCCACCTCGGGCCGTGCGGCTCTGGGCTCTGCGCTGTCTTCTCCTTTGGGAAAGAGGAGGGAAGGCGTGTCTGCACGCTCTCAAGAAGGGCCCAGACCCAACAACGTTGGAGGGGCATCATCTCCATTTTCTGGATCAGGAAACTGAGGCATGGGGGAATAGCCTGACTCTGCACAGTGCCCAGTTCCGGGAAGGGAAACCACTGGTCTAAGGACGCACAGCAGAACCTGAACCAGCATCTCTATGACCTCCCACCCCAGGGCCCTCCAAGGGTGGGAATGGGGCCGGGAGCATCTGCTAACTGAAAAACTGCAGGTAGAGCAGGCTGGAGACAATGCGGGAACCCATCTAGAGCCAGGCTCCCAGCCCTGGCTTTCCTGGGTCAGGGAGCAAGAAGGGGAGGTGATGAGGTTCAAACCCCAGCTCTGCTTCCTCCCAGTGGTGTGGCCTTGGGAAGCCCTGTGACCCCTCTGAGCCTCTATTTCCTCACCTTTAAAGTGGAGAGAATCTGAGCACCCTGAGTTAGTGCAGTTCTTAGCACATGCCTACAGGGAGTGCTAGGTGAGACTTTGAAGGTGGTGTGCTGGCCCTTGGAGGACCCAGGGCTATGAATGAATGAATGAATGAATGAATGAAGTGCATTTGGACCCCTCTCTCTGGATTCTGACACTTCTTGACACTCCTTGGCCCAGCCTCCGTGCCTCCTCTCAGCCATGCCCACTTCTACCCTGTCCCCACATCATGTTTCCCGTTTGCTTAAAAAGTCCCTAGCGGCTCTCCCTGTCACCCAGCTTTGCCTCACAGTGTCCACTCCACCACCCCTAGCTTCACCTCCAGCCACTGGCCATCCTTCTGCCCCCAAGCAGCTGTGCTCCACACATCACAGGGCCTTTGCAAATGTTGCTCCGCAGCCCAGGACTCTGTCCTACTCAACCTCCAGATCAAAGTCCCTGCGTCATTCCCACACAGAAGCCTCCAGGGTGTCCTGGGATCTCTAAGCTCCAAGACTCCCTCCTTCCCACAGTCGTCATTAGACACTCTGTGGTGATTTGCTAATTAAGATCATTTGACTGTTAATTCCGTGAGGACAAGTCTGTCTTGCTCACTGTTGCATCCTCCTTACCCACCAGAGCTTCCGGCAAATAAGAGAAGTTCGACAAAGGCAATTAAAGGATCTCAGGATGCAGGTGGAGGGGTGTATGGGTGGACTGATGAATGGAATGAATAATAGATGAATGGGGGATGGATGAGTGAGTGGATGGGTGGATGGACAGATGGACAAATAGATGGATGGACTGGTGGCTCAACTCCATGTCTTTGAAGAGGCATGGCATCAGAGTCCCCTTCTGACTCTAGCTTCTGATGCTTTCACCCCTAGTTGGGGTCAGAGCAGAGCGGCTTTTACTCTCCACACCCTTATTGGGTCCCCCAGGCCAGCTGGCTGCAGGGAGAGCACAACCCCTCCCAGAGACCCAGGCCCTGGACAGGGACGTGCCCTGGCGGGGTGTGGGGAGGGCGGGGGAAATCTTTGGAAGAGACGCCTCAGTGTTTTGGGGAGGAATTAGAGGACAGTCCTGGGAGAGTGGAGGTGTCTCTGGGAGGGAGTCTCAGAGTCCACGTGCAGGAAGTTCTGGACGACAGGTGTCAGGTGCTAGAGGAGGGCGCCGGGCATCTGGGTAAGGAGGGGCTCTGAGAGCAACAGAGGCATCTTAAGGAAACAGGGAGGAAAGAAGCTGGGATCCCTGAGAGGTCAGGTCATGTTTAGGGGCAACTTGAAAAAAACAAGGAGCTTTTCATCAGCTGTATCGGGATATCTCAAGAGAGAGGTTTGTAGCATTTGGAAACTAGGTGTTTCCAAAGAAAACTTAGGTGTATTTAATAGAGGAGTTATGGGATACTTCATCTCTAAAAACAGAGGTTCTGAGAGATGTTGGTGGGTTCTGAGAGAGCAGAAACCCCCTACAAACACTCCCCCCACTAGGGGCACACCCACAGCCAGCTCCCTTCTCTCCGTCTCCAGGCCCCTGGGCCCCCACCTCCTCCAGCCCCCAGGAGGCCAACTCTGGTGCCACCTGGCTTTCCACGGGGGAAACTGATTTCAGCCCCCCTACCCCCGCCAACACCGAAGAGGGCCCTTGAATGTGCAGTGGGCTCGTGCTCCTTGTGGTCATTCCCAGATTTAATTACAAACAGATTCCAAATGTCCAGTCCAGGTCAGTACTGCCAAGGCTGCCCCCCATTTCCTCATCAGCATGTGTCCTGGCCGGAGGACCCAAAGCACCTCAATTCTCCCTCAAAAACTAGGCACCAATTCTTTTTAGGTGGGAACATTGAGACCCGCCAGGACAGGACTCCAGCTCCGTGCTGGCGACCTGGGAACCTC